GGATGCAAATGATTGATTAATTCATTAATCATTAGCTGATCAACCTTATCGATCGATTAACGATTAACTGATAAGCGCCTATTTTCCTGAGAATGTAAATTTCTCACAGTATCAATTTAACATAAAGAGCAAAATATTGCTTATACTGAATAAAAATGCATGTTGTATTGCTTGATGTTTTATTGTGACAGTTGGGATATGTCACAGAATAATGGCATTTATGTAGTTTAACAAAATAAATTATGCACAGAAAATTAAAATATATCGAAAAAAAATTGTGCACTGGCTCACCTGTTCAATCAATTTTAAATAAAAATCTATATGGGTAGGCTTATCCTATCTACACTTATAATAAGCCTACATATAATAATCTATCTGGTAAACTACTTATATAAAAAACTTGAAACATTAGCAGCAGGACTTATAATATAGGCTGAGGGGGAAGTCAAATGTACAACTTCTAACAGTGGAAATAAGCTGTGGCCCCTTTAAGAGCTGCGCACTCCCTGTTGAACTATCAGCAGTATTGTATAGTATGTGCTGTGCGCCTCGAACACCCATTTTGCTGTCTATGCGAAGTGAACACACCATGTATGAAAGTGTGACTGACAGTTAGACTAGTTTCCCGGGAAAAATAACAAACAAAAGGGTCCGGGAGATACCCAGATAGCAAACTGACATTGAATCAACGTGGAAATGTGACATCGAAACAACGTTGATCTCACATTGTTTTGCTCATCGAATTAACGTTGAACCAACGTCAGACGCGTCATTCTTTCAAAACTAACGGAAAATCAACTTGAAATCAACGCGTTGTTTCAACGTTATGAAAGCAAACCAATTTTCGATTTTCATTTAGCTTTGAAGAATGTCGCGTCCGACGTTGGTTCAACGTTAATTCGATTAGCAAAATCAACGTTGTTTCAATGTCATGAGAGACGTCGTTTCCACGTTGATTCAATGTCAGTTTGCTGTCTGGGTAGGGTTAAAATTAAAACGTGAGAAACCCGGGAAAACAGGAGTGTTGACAGGTATGAGCTAAGTTATTGTTCGAATACAGCTGGATTTTCGAGGTTAGCACGCTGTATAGCCGGTAGTCAATATCGATGCGCTCCACTCCGGTTTGACCGCCTCAAGTTTGGTTTTCTTTTTTGCCGCTTCAAGTTTGTGTCGGCTCTCTCGCGTGAGAACATCGTGTCACGTTCACAATGTTCAGTTAGCCGGCAATTAATTTATTTTAATCGAGTAAATTCTTGTCGACAATTAATCAATAATCGATTAACCGTTTGGATCGCTAATAGTAGTTTAATGTAGTAATGTCACTGAAACTCCATAAACATACATTTTGTTCCTCACACATAGTAGGGATGGGACGATAACCGGTTTCACTATAAACCGTGATAAAATGTACTGGCGGTTAGTATTATCGTTTAAAATTTAATTATCATTAAAACCGTGTTTGATTATCGCGATATTAATAACTCACTGAATCCTGTTGGCCAGTTTGACGCAGGCGCAGCACGCAATATTTTTTTAAATTACTATTCGAGAAGGAATGGTGGAAGGCAGTGACCGTGCTCAGGAGGTTTTTCAGCCTTTTAAGAGGACCAAATCTGAGGTGTGGTCATATTTTGGGTTTTACAAAAGTCCTGAGGGAAACTTGATCGAGGATGGTCACCTTGTCTGCCGAACAAAAAGTCACTGCAATAGAAACACTTCAAATCTGCCGAGTCGTCTTGTGTGATCATCACCCGAACGCAAGGCAAGTCAACTTTGACCTTAATACCAAAACTACGTCTGGGAAACAATTGGGCAAAAAATGTTGTTTTGAGTTGAAACATTTTATGTCACTCACTTGAAATAGACGTCAAGCTTCCATGAATAAAAGTTTGTAGCAAGTGGATTTGAGCCAAAGACGAACGAACAACTTCAAACAAGACTGTTATTAAGAGTGATATTTTAAGGGATAGTAAAGTATAGATACATCACGTATTAAACCGATTTTATTTTTACCACATAATTACGGGGACATATTGAATTGATAATGAGATTAGCTAATGTTTTAAATCTTACCTGTTTATGAATTCATTTTGTAAAACAATCGTCCAGACAAGATATATCACACCAATATTATCAAACTCTGTAAACAATAAATCAACTCTGATTTCATTTTTGCAATACAATCAAAAACCGGAGACGCAAGACGGCAAGTTGTATTTGAATGAAACAAGAGCGCGCGTCCGTTGTGAATGTTATGGATGTGCGCTGTGTAATAATGCGTTGCTATTGACGACGGGCATTATAAAGAAGCAAATGCCATAGAATAGAATCTTGCTTAAAAAACTGCATAGAGAGGCTTGTTTTATTTGTTGTTTATTGATTTTCAATTATAAAACTTGTTGAAATGTTTTCAGTGAAATTTCATATCACGATTATAGTGTCCAAAATAATCATGATTATCAATATTATCACGGTTTTTGTTAAAAATTTATGAAAGTGCTCAAAAAGAACTGATGCTCACACTGAAAACATTTCATTTCATTTTATAATTGAAAATCAACAAACAACAAATAAAACAAGCCTCTCTATGCAGTTTTTTAAGCAAGATTCTATTCTATGGGATTTGCTTCTTTATAATGCCCGTCGTCAATAGCAACGCATTATTACACAGCGCACATCCATAACATTCACAACGGACGCGCGCTCTTGTTTCATTCAAATACAACTTGCCGTCTTGCGTCTCCGGTTTTTGATTGTATTGCAAAAATGAAATCAGAGTTGATTTATTGTTTACAGAGTTTGATAATATTGGTGTGATATATCTTGTCTGGACGATTGTTTTACAAAATGAATTCATAAACAGGTAAGATTTAAAACATTAGCTAATCTCATTATCAATTCTATATGTCCCCGTAATTATGTGGTAAAAATTAAATCGGTTTAATACGTGATGTATCTATACTTTACTATCCCTTAAAATATCACTCTTAAAGGGTTAGTTCACCCAAAAATGAAAATTAAGTCATTAATTACTCACCCCCATGCTGTACCAACCCCGTAAGACCTTTGTTCGTCTTCGGAACACAAATGAAGATATTTTTGATTAAATTTGAGAGCTGTATAACTACCACATTGGCTCCTAAGGGACTGCCTCTTGACGGCCCAGAAAGTCAATGAAGAAAATGTTTAAATATCCCAAGTGACTACCGTGGCTCAACTTTATGTTTATCAAGCGGCGCGAATACTTTTTGTGCGAAAAAACAAACAAAAATAAGGAGTTTATTCGACTATTTCTTTTCTTCCTTGTAGGCCAGAAACGAGATTTCCTTAGATTTCCACGACGCATGCGCGAGAATTGCGATCTGCTCACATCAGCTTACACTACTTCAGATCGCAATTCTCGCGCATGCGTCGTGGAAATGTAAGGAAATCTAAGGTTTCTGGCCTACAAGGAAGAAAAGAAATAGTCGAATAAACTCGTTATTTTTGTTTGTTTTTTCGCACAAAAAGTGTTCTCGTCGCTTGATAAACATATAGTTGAGCCACGGTAGTCACTTGGGATATTTAAACATTTTCTTCATTGACTTTCTGGGCCGTCAAGAGCCAGTCCCTTAGGCAGCCAATGTGGTAGTTATACAGCTCTCAAATTTAATCAAAAATATCTTCATTTGTGTTCCGAAGACGAACGAATGTCTTACGGGGTTGGTACAGCATGGGGGTGAGTAATTAATGACTTAATTTTCATTTTTGGGTGAACTAACCCTTTAATAGTCTTGTTTGAAGTTGTTCGTTCGCCTTTGGCTCAAATCCACTTGCTACGAACTTTTCTTCGCAGAAGCTTGACGTCTATTTCAAGTGAGTGACATAAAATGTTTCAACTCAAAACAACATTTCGTGCCCAATTGTTTCCCAGACGTAGTTTTAGTATTAAGGTCAAAGTTGACTTGCCTTCCGTTCGGGTGATGATCACACAAGACGACTCGGCAGATTTGAAGTGTTTCTATTGCAGTGACTTTTTGTTCGGCAGACAAGGTGACCATCCTCGATCAAGTTTCCCTCAGGACTTTTGTAAAACCCAAAATATGACCACACCTCAGATTTGGTCCTCTTAAAAGGCTGAAAAACCTCCTGAGCACGGTCACTGCCTTCCACCATTCCTTCTCGAATAGTAATTTAAAAAAATATTGCGTGCTGCGCCTGCGTCAGACTGGCCGACAGGATTCAGTGAGTTATTAATATCGCGATAATCAAACGCGGTTTTAATGATAATTAAATTTTAAACGATAATACTAACCGTCAGTACATTTTATCACGGTTTATAGTGAAACCGGTTATCGTCCCATCCCTACTCACACAGTACACTCGCGCTTTCAATGCAGGCATTCATTGAATCTGTCAAGGTTTGACAAGTGTGCGCTTCAGATGGTCAGTGCAATCCATCACAGTTCTAATCGCAAGAAAGCATGTAAAAATCTCTATTCCCGAACTGTAAATGGTTAGTTCATACAAAAATTTGAATTCTGCATTTACTCACTCTCATGTTGTTTTTGCCCATCACACAAGCATTCGAACGACCAAATTTACTACAGTATGGGCTTCGTTGTAAATCTGTTCATCATATAAAGCCATCGTGTCTCTTCAGAGGACATGGATTTGGATTAGGCTGCACTCAGTTGATTATTTTTACAATACAATTTTATTGGATCTTTTAAGTTTTAGAGGACTTTAAATGGAGGTACAGAAATCTCTCAGGTTTCATAAAAATATCTGCATTTGGGTTTGGAAGTTTAACGAATATCTTGCAGGTTTAAATGAATTTACATTTACATTTATGGGTGAATTATGCCTTATAAATACAGTAAGCTAAGCCTTGGATAAAACTAACTCAGTATTGCAAATCATATAATTTACATCAACAATATATATTGTCGCATTTTTAAATAGCAAATTAAATCGTTAAACCCCTAGTAAAGAAATGTTGTATCCATGTGTTTCCTCAGAGATTTCTCCACTGCTGCAGGGTGACTGCTTGAAAAAAGATGAAGATGAGAAGGTTGTGCGCCAGAGGGTGATCTGAATTGCCCATTTACAGTCTGTGGAGATGGCATCCATCATACTGGGGCTCATCACTTCTGGAAAGCATGGAGGAACACAATTTGGGCTAAAGGAGGGAAACTCAGGAAGTCTAGTCTTTTCATAAATGCATAACTAAGATCCACTAAGATTGCAGGCAAATTCTATTTTGGTTCTTGTTGTGGGGCTGATGTGCTAACTGTTTTATATTCATTTAGTTTTACACTTTCGATTTTATAGTACCAATTGCAGTAATGGTAATCTGGTGGAACAGTTATTCTGTTATTATTGCTGTAACAACAATTTAGGCTAGGCTGATCTGGTGAAATTTATATACACTGCCCAGCCAAAAAAAATAGTCACTGTTTGGCTTTTAAATGGGCAAATGCTTAAGAGTCTTTGATTGGATCATTATTACAGTGAGTATTATCTTGCATTGTCAATACAAGATCATGACAAAAAAAAAAAACTATTGCTCACATTTTTGGTCCAGATCTTGAATGGACAATGCAAGAGTCCAGCAATCTGTAAAGTCTCCTCCAGCACATCCCAAAAACTTTCAATGAATTTAAGGTCTGGACACTCAACCATTCTTTTACACTTTGAGCTTGATGAATCTTAAATTTGACATCCTGGAATATGGCAATGATGTGTCTTCTTGTTACCAAACATGTAGCATGCTAGAAACATAATCACCGCAATAATGATCCAATCATAGACTCTTAAGCATGTTCCTTTTTAAATCTAAACAGCTGCTTTTTCTTCTTCTTCTTCTTTTGGGCCAGGCAGTGCATTTCGTGCACAGTGCGTACATCGTCACCCATATTTGCAACTCAAAATAATCAGTTGAAGCAGTCTGAGCACTGGCTCTTTCTTTCAGTCTAAGGTAATGGGGAAAAAATAAATAAACTGAAAGAAAATGTTAATCTACAGAGCTTCTCTTTGAAATATGATTTATGGAAAGAGATATAAATTGAAATATTAGACCATTGATCATCTGCAGTTTCTGCCAAAGATTTATAACTGACATTTTGTTAGCCTCTCTGAATTCATTTTGTTTTGTTTTTTTAAATACAAGATTTATATTATCTCTGCTCTGGAAATAAAGTTGATCGATTTTTACACTAGTTTTGGAATTCTTTCATCATTTACTTTCCTCATGTACAGTTTACATACAGTACATCTTACAGAATCTGTCAAATGTTTAAAATAAAAATAAGAGGGGTTATAAAAATTGCTGCTTGTTTATTTAGTACTGGCCTGGTGAACACTTTCACATAATAGATGATTAAATATAGTCCACAAGAGAAAATAGAAATATAAAATTATAAAAAGGAACCTGTTCAAAATTGGACATACGCTTGAATCATTATGTTGTGTTATTTGAATGATTAGAATTGTGATTACTTGTCCTAAAGCAGTTATACCACCACATGCGTCCTACACATTATTTGTTTTTGTTTTTCAGCATTTTTTGCTTATTTGAACTTCTGACAGTGACCTTATGATTTTACGGAAGCCCTGAACCGCAACCTAAAAAAATATATATATGTAAAAAAAAAAAAAATTTAGCATTTCGAGATTAAAGTCGAAACATTTCGAGAGACGAGAGTACGAGAATACAGTCTTCCGTAGAAGCTGTGCATGTGTGATTGCCATTGTCTCACATTGCCGCACACACAGGCATTCATAATGGCATAGTTTCACACTGTGTGTGTGTGCGTGTGTGTTTTGTTTCATCAAAGGAAATTCAACAGGTGCCAATTTACTAGCTTTAGGCTACCATTATAGGACGTTATAAAATATACTGCGCCGGAACAGACTTTAGCCTATAGAAAAACCAACACGGAAACACTTTTCAGACTGGATGGAGAAATCCAGCTTTATGAATGAACGAATGAATGGGGCATTTATATAGCGCTTTCATGTCTACTAGGCCTACACTCAAAGCGCTTTACAATCAGACAATCTCTCCTCAACCATTAGTGGTTATTAAATCTGAGGAAATCACAGGATCCGGCCAAATGGATACAGAATGATGCATTTAAAATATAGGCTATCCAGAGCATATTTACGGTGAAGAGATAGTGTTGACTAGACGAGCACGAAAACACCTCAGAAACATTGCCACTAGTGCGTATGACGTGTGTAGAATTTTGTTGAAAGCCCAGATAAAAGTAAAAAGCTACTATTTTGTGTTTATCTATGGCAGTTCGACTTCACACAAACACACACACGCGCTCTGAGCCAGTGGACGCGCACTGTTATGAATGCACACAGTTCAATGGAAGACTATATTGTCTTAATGTTTCAACTTTATTTTTTTTCAGGTTTTTTTTAAATTTTTTTTATGTTGCATTTCAGGGCTTCCGTATGATTTTGAGGTCCATCTTGTCACACCGAACCCGTACATAACTATTATAAAACATTCACTGCAAATTAAAAAGGTCATTGAATGCTCAAAATGAATCTCTTGTGGACACCTTCAGTATGCTGAGACAACCGAATGCATAAGTTAGTAAAGTCATTGAACTCCAAGTTTATGTCTGTGGCTGGAGCATGGCGACAACGGTCAGGGGTTTGAAGATTCATCAAGGGAAAATGAAATGCTGGATGGAGAAGGGACAATGGCCTCGCATTGATCAGTACTTCTTACGAAGTCAGTCGAATGAAATCCATGTGACAGGAAACAAACCAGCACCCCTGTCATAGAGGAGAGGAGGGTTTGCACAGTTAGTGATAAACATTGATACTTGTGAACCCGGTCAGACTAACCAGCATAAGAGAGAAAAGAACCTCATCGAACATAGGCCTGGAGTTAGATGGCCAAGAGCTTGTGAGAAAACTGCATGGGACACGGTAAACACAGATCCATGCTTTGCATTGGAAAGATTAACTGGTACAGTTGAAAAGAACCTGGATAACATTGGGGACATAATTTATGCATATGGAAGTGAGATGTTTGGTGTGGAATAAAGGAAGGAAAAAGTACAAACTGCTCCTGGAATGTCTAGACCGTACCGTGCAGAAAATTGAAGGGTTAGTTAGAGAAAGGAGACAGCTGATGAAGCAATGGAAAATAGCAAAGCAAAGTCAGAAGAAAGGACTCAATCTCTTACAAAGGGCCAAAGATAAGCTGGCAACATTACACAGAGCTGAGCGCCTACGGAAACGGCACAAAAAAGAACGTGCGAGGGCTAATTCCTATAAAGACCCATTCAAATTCGTATTAAACTTTGAAGGTAAGATTTTCTTCAGCATTATTGCCCAGAGATTGTCCACTTACCTATTAAAGAATGGCTGAAAAGGAGAGGAGGGAGCTCCATGTGACATGCCTGGATCTGGCTAATGCATATGGTTCATTGCCACATGAGCTTCTTTGGGTAGCATTTGATTTTTTTAAAGTACCAATGTCAATAACAAATTTAGTGAAAGCCTATTTTGGAGATTTGCAATTTAGTTTCTCCAGAATTCAGCACTACATAGCAATGCTTAGAGGTTGGAATAATGGCAGGATGCACCATTTCTTAACTGGCTTTTACCATGGCGATGGAAGTAATCATTAGGCCATCAAGATGGGTAGTAGGAGGAGAGCGCGTTTGGCAAGTAAATAAAATAAGCTATCAAAATCTTGAAAAATGAGCAGTTTTCTCTGCTCTCAAATGCTGGGGGCGTGTCCACAGCTGCTATGAAACCACGCCCCCTTTGCAGGACAGCTGCCTATGGTGATATTAGGCGATAGTGCTTTCGGGACGGGAGGATGAACGCTGAGGCGGGAGATAGTCGTTTCGGACCCGTTCACCAGTAACGGGATTATCAGTGAATCCCAGTTGTCTCTGAGGAAAGTTTATAAAACGATCCTGTGTAAAATGATCACTACAGAGGCGGGTGTTGGCGGTGATCCTCAGCTCTTCATCAAGGTTGGCTCTCCACAAAATTAATCCACCTCTTCTTGATGTGATAGTTTTTAGGAAATTTAAATAAAGACACCGATCTGTTTTATACATGATCGCATCCAGGTAGTAGCATATGCATTTCTGTGTCGAAGGCATAGCTAGCTAGCAAACTGTAGGCTGTAGTAACTAATAGTAATGACAGTAATGCCTGTTTAATGCTTCTGCGTCGAATCGACGACGTACCCCCGCAGACACCTATCCGTCGACGCGAACCCCTCTCCGACCCCTCCGCCGTAGCTCGACGTGCACCTCCAAAAATTTGTAAAACTACGCGTCGAGGCGACGCAGACAGCAAGGGCTTTGATTGGTCAGATTAAACATAATTTCAGGAGTGTAGCTTTTCCGATTTCCCCCTTCTTTTTATAGCGCTATTTTTAACATTTGCACCCTCGTTCTTTTAATTATAACACTCTTAAAGAAAGTAACGTTAAATAAAGAATTAAACTAAAAATAAACTGTTTTTTTTTATTTCATTGTTAATATATGTCTATATTCTTTTCTTTCTTTCTCGCAATAAACTTCAATCAATCAATAAATCAACGTTTGTTTTGAAACACAGTTTGTTGTTTATTTTCAATACAATGTTCACGGTTGAATCATTGATAATACAGTACTAACCAAGTCTGCCACGGGACACATTATCCTGCCATAGCACAGTTCCATGTGGAGACTGAAAAAATCCTTCAAGTCATTCCGAACAGCTATCGTTATGGCAGCTCGGGTGGAACCTTTATTTTACTGTCTATGGGTGGAACGGGCCCTGGACATCCATGTTGATTCTGTGGGGATAAAGTTTTGTGTCGTCTTGTTATTCAACGTCGATTAGCTCCAGCTGGCAGCTGCAACAACATTATCTCTCTTTCGCTCGCGGTGCACGGAACCAAAGAGATTCGCGAACCCCCCTAGCGTTCTGGCGGCGAAATGCACCGCGGAGCACCACAAAATCACGCAGAAGTATAAAACGGCCACGACGCCGTAGTAGTGACGACGTAGCTACGCCGTGGAGTTGACGCAGAAGCATAATGAGGCCTTAACTCGCGATTGAGCGGCGAATGCGAATGTGCTCTATTGTTAGGGGAGAGATCAGCCTCAGTGCGTCATCAAGTAGGGGCGTGTCCACGAGCTCAGGGGCTCCAGTGCGTCATCAAGCCCTGTTTTAGCCCCGCCAAAAAAATGCTCTTCAACCCTTCCACTGCTCGTCGTCTAACTTCTCCCACTCGAACTGTGTCCCTTAGATCCCCATTGTACCACCTGCCAAGACTCTTCACTGGCTTCTCAGAAAGCACATGAGTTTCAAGAATCCAAGAATTTGGTGATTTTAAGAATCTGAGAAGCCAGTGAAGAGTCTTGGGAGATGGTACGATGGGGATCTAAAGGGCACAGTTCGAGTGGGAGAAGTTAGATGACAAGCAGTGGAAGGGTTGAAGAGCATAAACAGCTGTGCTCTACCTGGCAAACTAAAACTCAGGTGCTTTTAGTTTGGTCTACTGCCGAGGTTGCTGTGGCCACTGACTGTGTACGACATTTCTTTGACAACAGTGGATAAGATGGAAGCGTTGATAAGTTCATACATCAGGAAATGGTTGGGAGTTCCACGTTGCCTCAGCAGAGTGGGACTTTATAGTAAAGGAA